AAAAAAAAGCAGCCTGTGCAGCGTAGTTGTCTCCATAAGGGCCACACCCTTACACAAAGTGCAAATTCTCTTTTTTGTTTCACTGTATTTAAGCTTACATTTACAGCATCACTTGTTTCTGCTAGTAGTGCAAAGACAAAGTGTCTCACGCCTTTGTTTTTCTACAGATATTACATAGCTGGAAAAATGATTTGGTTGATGTGTTTCATATTTTGCAACTTTGTGGAGCAGAAAAATGCTTCCAGACAAACTTGCAACAAGCACCAGCATTTGGTACGGAGCGTTAAAACTTTTTTAAGTAAAACCTAAACCATACACAGCTGTACATAACTGTGACATACAAGAAGTTGGTGTGTTGGTGCTAAAATGCTTTCTCCATGAAAAACAGCAGTTAAAAAAAGCATCTGGTTTGTTTTACTTCAGCCTGCACGTTTCTGTACTATACTTTTGATTGTAACGGTAAAGTATTTCTTTGTTTGGCTTAATCACAGACACAAAATATCAAGAATAATACTTTCAATATTCTTATAACTACCAGTCTCTGCACATAAAACCAAATCTGTGAGGAAAAGTATAAATGCCTTTTATTTTGTTTTAATTTAATAAAACATTGTTCATGCTTCATAGACATTTGAATAAAAAAATCCCAAGTGACATCATAAAGAGTTTAATCAAATATTGCGGTAAATTGTAACAAAACAAACAAGCAGGAGCTTGTTCTTGTTTGGTAATGATGCACATGCCAAATCACACTGCCCAAAAAAATAGAGAGCGTGCAGCTACATCTGAGGTGAGCATACCAGCAGAGCTGTGTCCACTCTTGAACAAGGCCAAGTATCTACTGACTCCTCAAAAGTCCATTCAAATTGCTTCTTACTGGTAAACCAGCAGGGCTTTGAGGAGCAAAACAGAAGAGAATGAATCAAATGTTGAGTTAAGATGTGAAAAATAAATGCAGCAATGAATATCAAAAGGTCCAGCTCCTTAAAATATATGTTTGTTCATGCAAGACAACAGAAGAGAAAAGAGAAAGAGGTCTGTGATAAGAGGTGTGCTGGCTGTTGACTCAATGAAAATAGGCGATAATATTTACAGTGTTTACAATGCTTGTTGCTGGGATGTAACAGGTTTGACCAGCACAGTGTGGCAGTATTGGACAAGATTAATGGCACGATTTCAATGAAAACATCACATGTCAGAACACTGACAGAGTTGAGAACCTACCGGATTTGACTGAATGACTAACCTAAGGCTTATAGTAATGGGTGCGGCTCTTTTGCATTTTCCAGTATACTTTACAGAAATAAAAGGTAAAGGCTCAAGTGTATGCCCTGTCGTCAGGGATATTATTGTGGAGCCAGAGAATAAGGAGGACAAACAGAATAATGATGTTTTCTATGAGGTCCTCAGGTAGCTGTGAGGTTGGAATGAATTACTGAAATTGCTTTAGAGAATAGTTTTGAGTTTAGCCCCGTTAATTCCTCTTATTGTTGCATAAAATGTACCTTGTGTGTGTGTGTGTGTGTGTGTGTGTGTGTGTGTGTGTGTGTGCGATGGGTGGGGTAGATCAACCATTTTAGGTAATGCTCCTCCCTCCAGTCCTACACGCCCCCTCCCACAGCAGAGCCAGCAGCCGCAGCCTTGAGCAGCATAAAAAGGGGGAAGAGGTAGAGTGCTGCATCTCAGTCCATCTCATTTTCTCCAAGGCAGGCAAACCTCCTGAGAAACCTTCACAATGAACTCAATGAAATCTTATTCCATACGCAGTTCTGGATATGGAAATGCTGGAAGCATGTGTGGAGGTGGAGGTGGAGGTGGAGGTCTAGGTCTAGGTCTAGGTCTAGGTCTAGGTGGAGGCATGATGCAGAGGTCATATGCCAGAAGTGTGTATGGTGGTGCAGGTGGCGGTGGAACAAAAATCTCTGGTTCCTCCTTGGGTTTCGGCAGGTATGGAGGTGGAGGTGGAGGTGGAGGTGGAGGTGGAGGTGGATGTGGAGGTGGAGGTGGCAGCATCAGCAGTTACAGTTACTCTGTTGGTGGCGGAGGCTTTGGTGCAGGTGAGGGCATGGATATCGGGACCAATGAGAAGGCCACCATGCAGAACCTGAACGATCGCCTGGCCTCTTACCTGGATAAGGTGCGCAGCCTTGAGAAGGCCAATGCAGAGCTGGAGCTGAAGATCCGCCAGTTCTTGGAGAGCAAGACCTCCCCCGTTTCCCGTGACTACTCAGCTTTTGAGGCCACCATCGCAGACCTGCAGAGAAAGGTATGTAACATGACCTTGAATGAGAAATGCAACTATCAGAGAGGTATTTCCAAAATGATACATTGAAACTGTAATCATTCTTTTCATTGTTCTCCATGCAACCCTTCTTATTTGTTATTTAAACTTTTTTTCATCACACAGATCCAGGATGCTACCAGTGTCAATGGAGGCATCTATCTGTCTATTGACAACGCAAAACTGGCAGCAGACGACTTCCGAACCAAGTGAGTGTCAGGATGAGACAGTAAAGTCTGAAACAAAGAAGAATGTAAACTGTGGCAGTAAAGGAATGTTAAAATGACAATATCTGCTCCCTTCTTCCACAAAGGTATGAGAATGAGCTTGCCATGCGTCAATCAGTGGAAGCAGACATCGCCGGTCTCAAGAGACTGTTGGATGAGCTGACACTGAACAGAACAGACCTTGAGATGCAGATAGAGGGCCTGAAGGAGGAGCTGATCTTCCTCAGAAAGAACCACGAGGAGGTAGGTAGCAAACAGTGATGTGACTGGATCTGCAATTAACAAATCAACAAACATCCATCCTCAATAAACTGCTTTTATTCCACAGGAATTGGCAGCCATGAGGAACCAGATGAGTGGACAGATTAACGTGGAGGTGGATGCAACACCACAGCCAGACCTGTCCGCCATTATGGCTGAGATCCGTGAGCAGTACGAGACTGCAGCTCTCAAGAATCAGAAAGAACTTCAAAACTGGTTCCAAACAAAGGTGAGAGAACACCAACACACTGGTAACAGTAACCTGCTACGGCTGTCTCTGAAAAATTAAGTAGTTTCATCTGACACTGGTTATATCTTTTGTCCCCTGCAGTCAGAGGAACTGAACAAGGAGGTGGCAAGCAGCACAGAAACTCTCCAAACGTCCAAGTCAGAAATCACTGAGATCCGCCGAACGCTGCAGGGCCTGGAGATCGAGCTACAATCACAACTAAGCATGGTAACTGAATATTTCTTTACCCTTTCATGCACAACCCGTTACATCCTCAGTAAAGTGTTAGGGTACCCAGTTTTTAAGTTGATTCTTTCTCTTTCTTCTCTCCTCCGCTCTACTTTTTGCCCTGCTCATTCCAGAAAGCGTCTCTGGAAGGCACATTGCATGACACAGAGGCACGATACTCCATGCAGCTCAAAGGCCTCCAGAGTCAGGTGTGCAGCCTGGAATGCCAGCTGGAACAGCTTCGTGGTGATATTGAAAAACAGAGCCAAGAATACAACATGCTGCTCGACATCAAGACTCGGTTGGAGATGGAAATTGCAGAGTACAGGAGGCTTTTGGACGGAGAGGGCAGGTAATTTTGCTTTCAAAGAACAACTGTCAACTCTTTCATCATTAACCTATAACTAGCTCTTTTAACTGAAGCAGTATACTGATTTTTAATGCAAACCCTGTAATTCTCCCCCCTCTGCAGTATGACCAGTGGCAGTGGTTCAAGGAGCAACAACTGAGAGCCACAAGCACAACACCTGAACCAAAATGTTCTTCACGTACTCATGTGAATGCAATAAAAAGCTGCATGTTTGCTCCCTTCTAATTTGTGTTGTTCTGTTCATTCATAAAAGGTCATATTTTATTATCATGTCATGAAAGTTACCCTAGGTATCTGGCAGGTATTAAAAAGGATTTATGTGACTGACAAGAGTGTTTATATTAAATTTCCCAAATATTTTATATACAAGTGGGGCAAATCCAGGTTTAAAAACACACTCTCCTCTCATCAACAGTTTCCTCTGAGACTCCAGTGAGCTTCAGATATTGTTCTGATTTTACAACAAAGCTTTAAACAACAGCATGTTTACTTTGCAGAATTCATCCCCAACAAATAGAGTGAGTGTACCATTCAGAAAGAAACCTATGGAGTACTACAAATATTCTAACAATGTACCAATAGCATTTTCAATGTGAGCATGGATTTGACTCTCTGGGTGTTTCCCTGGACTGGCAACAAGTCAAGCTTACTTCAAGTAGTTCACTTCTACTGAGTACATGCTGGAACAGGCCTCATAAAATTGGATCAAATCCAGTTTGGCCACTAGGGGGCAGAAGATGTGTGTAAGACAGTGGTTCTCAAACACCTCCGAACATGTTTGGCTCTCCGAGTACCACCATTATGGTAGATGTTAAAATACACTGTAGGCCTTTTTCAACACACATTTTACGCAAGACTAATTAATTCATAAAAATAATATTGTTTATTATTGACTTCTGGAAGCCACGCTGTAGGCCTACGAAGGGATAGAGCTAGAACTGGCACTCCACACAACACTGACATTTTACCCAAATCCAAAAAAATGCAGCACAATAAAAATGAAACTTTATACCAACAACCTGTTTGAGAATATTTAGTCTCCAGTGTTTCCCAAACAAAGACGATACCTAGGCCCAAGTATATTTCCGACCTGTTCTTATTTAATTTTTCATTTATTCATAAAAGTGCTGCGTGCCTGACAGAACGAGATGTAGCGGGAGATAGAGAGTAGAGAGAGAGATAGAGAGGGAGGGAGAGAGAGAGGGAGAGAGAGAGAGAGAGAGAGCGCGTGAGAGTGCAGGCGCGCGCTCTGCAGGCTCGGTGCAAACAGCGCCGCTTTATTATAAGTCTCTGCTTTCAACATAGCAAAACTGCCTTTTTAAAAAAAATCCCTCTCGACTCGCGAGTGTTAAGACAACAAAAAGAGAGCAGAATCACATCAGCTTCAGAGCTACAGAGAGAGAGAGAGAGGAGGGAGGGGGAGCGATAAGGTCCACTGTCCGTACATGCATCAAAACTGAAGCTTCTCCTGGCTCCGTTTAAAAATGTAAATGTACAGCTGCTTACTACCGATTGTGTACTGAACTCCAATAAATAACATAATATCTGTTAATGTAGGCCTACATTAACAGATATTATGTTAATGTAGACCTACAGCTGCTTGCTGTTGATTCAGTACTGAACTATAACGGAATATAGAGTGGAACTTTTCAAAAACGCGGAGTGTACTCCTGTTGTTGTTTGGGTTGTGTGTGTGCGAGCATAAAATTGAGCAGATAAAAAATTTAGAGGGGAAAACATATTTATAATATACAACCCAATAGATACAAGACAGATAAGATACGAGTACGACAAAAAAAATAAAAATTGTCGTTTTATGCTGAACAGGTTTTTGTATATATATTTGGAGATTTCTTTGCGTAGCACCACAGGGAGTCATAGTTTGAGAACCATGGTGTAAGACATACCTGAATTCCTTTCCTGTGTGCTCCAGAAACAATATTTAGAAGTTGAGAGCTTGCCAGACAGAAAAACTGGCATGGAGCCTCTTGACTGTCTGTTAGTGCTGTTTTCCCCTGGGGCAGAGGAACTCTACAATTAGTTGACAGATTGTACAGTGGCTGTTTTGCAGAAATGTCACCCAACACTTTTGCATCTAGCAGATACAGAGCAACAATGTAATCCTATTTCAGCCATATCCACATTAACATGAGTGCTTCAATAATTGGGTCTTTAGAAAATGTTCTTTAACAGCCAAGGGCTTGTTTTGTACAAGTAGTTAGACAGAACCACAAAGTAAATCTGCCATTATGCACAACTGTCTCCACCACTGTGATGACTTTTTTGACCACTGAAGAATAAAATAAACAACAATCGTGAGCAAATCTCGTACCTTTCTTTAAAAGCAATCCAAAACTTAAGTAGCCATTTAATGATCAAACCAGGTGTGAGAGAATTGTCTTACCTTGCTTTGTGCTGATAAAGCGAAAAAAGAAAAGAAAGAGAACACATTAGTCTCAGGCATTTTTACACGTTTCATTCAATGTCTTCTAGTGATGTGAAAAGCAATTCTTTTCAGTGTACTGAATCATTAGAATCAGTTTCAGTAAAGTGAGTCGTTCAAAAGATTCGTTCACCGAATGGTTCAGTACTTCTCTGCAGCCTGCTGGGAATCAGAATTTAATAAGCTGAACACACGACCGAACCGTTTAGTTTTGCTCGCGTTCGTATTGAGAATAGCCGGTGGTGCGAGTCACCCAGCCTCAGTCACACACACACACACACACACACACACACACACTGTCCTGACTGAAACACAATCATTAGTGGATGTTAAAACAGTCAGCTGAGTGAAATTAAGTTGGATAAAAAGCCGTTTGTAAACTGACAGCAGCTATAAAAAGCACAAACATTTTCGCGACACATAAATGTTAACTCTTACGGTCTAGAGAGAGATATGAGACGGGAGAGAGGAGAGCGCAACTGAAGTTGAGAAATGAACGACTCTTTTCAGGAAGTGATTCAGTTCAGTTGGTCACCCAGATGATTCGTTCGTTTTGAACGAATCGTTCATGACCGACACATCACTAATGTCTTAAGTGCGACGCCGTCAAGTCTCACCTCTCATCCTCCCCATCCAGCAACCTCCTATACTCTGCGAGCTCCATCTCCAGTCGGGTCTTGAGGTCCAGCAGCATGTCGTACTCCTGCTTGTTGCTGGCGATGTTGGAGTGAAGCTGGGATAGCTGAGTCTCCAGGCTTGTGACCATGTTCTGAGACTTCCTAGCTAAAAAAAAGCAGCCTGTGCAGCGTAGTTGTCTCCATAAGGGCCACACCCTTACACAAGTGCAAATTCTCTTTTTTGTTTCACTGTATTTAAGCTTACATTTACAGCATCACTTGTTTCTGCTAGTAGTGCAAAGACAAAGTGTCTCACGCCTTTGTTTTTCTACAGATATTACATAGCTGGAAAAATGATTTGGTTGATGTGTTTCATATTTTGCAACTTTGTGGAGCAGAAAATGCTTCCAGACAAACTTGCAACAAGCACCAGCATTTGGTACGGAGCGTTAAAACTTGTTTTAAGTAAAACCTAAACCATACACAGCTGTACATAACTGTGACATACAAGAAGTTGGTGTGTTGGTGCTAAAATGCTTTCTCCATGAAAAACAGCAGTTAAAAAAAGCATCTGGTTTGTTTTACTTCAGCCTGCACGTTTCTGTACTATACTTTTGATTGTAACGGTAAAGTATTTCTTTGTTTGGCTTAATCACAGACA